AAATCCAAGAAATGCCCAAAAAGGAGATCCAAAATCTCATTTCATCTACATCGCAGAATTGTGCAAACGTTACCAAAGCCACGGAGGCTAAACCAAATATTACTGCAACACAAATTTTCGCTTTTTCTCTGTATGTTGTTAATGCTTTCTGTTTTACTACAGATTAAGCGGTGATTGTCTCACTCTTTTTCCTTTTTTTGTACGAAGTAAATGAAGTATTGAAATTGGAAAAGATATTGGGTATCACATTTCAACGGAAATATCCATTTTGACCGTTCCCGAATACATTTAAATGATTCTTTTTTGTGCGATATCTGTACATACCCACAAAATAAAGGACTCTTCCTTTCAATAAGGGACTGTAAAATAGATTTAAAAGGAAATTTTTGGGGACTTCTGTACGTAAGTATACATCTCGTATAACTTTAAAACGATTAGCCGTAGAATGTTGAAATTTTGTATATGGGACTGGATAACATCTCTCTTTTTATTTCAATCGTCAGTACCAAACGCATCTCTCTCTCTCTCTCTCTCTATATATATATATATATTCACACATCCCTTTAGCCAGCTTAAAAGTCCTCATCCGGCGTTTATTTTCGCAATGTATCTCTTTATGTGGTTTCCGGGTTCTTGTACTTATGTTTGGGAAAATTTGAAACTCATTAAGAAAAAATAAAATTATAAGACGCTTGACTCCCTTACCACAAAAATGGACTGGAATATTTAATTTCAAATTTGCAATTTTTGATGTCATTTTCAGTTTTTCTTTAAGGTTAATAGTTAAAATAATTCGGGAAAAAGTCACGTGGTGTCCGTATCAGATTTTTTGTATCCAAGTTATGTTAGCCGCGATTTTAATTAATTCAGAAAATACCCAAATATATAGTATACTTAAAGGATAAAAAATATCTCCTATTTGATTTCTGATCATTTAAGCATTTCGCAATGGCTTTATGAAGAAAAGTTATTGTCAAGACAAGCAGCCAAACAAGCCTAGGCTCTTTCAAACGCTGACATCAAAAGTCGGAGAAGTGCCCACCAGCGGCCGAGCGGTAAAGTCTTTGAACACTGGTAGTTCGGTCCGAGGTTCGAATCCCGCGAACGGGCTCGCTGCATGGGCGTTTTGGTGGTTTTCCCCATGTGTAACGTGCATACGAGTCAAATTTCCCATAGAAAGTCCTCCACGAAGGCATCCTTCCTATTAGGCAGATAGCCCTAGTGTGCTTTGCCATAATTAAATAAACCAAACCAAAACCAAAAGTGGGAGAAACAACGGCATAAAGAGAGTAAGGAAGAAATTATATTTGAGCAGCAGAGTGACGTCATACAAATGCAAGCCTTGTAGTATAGTAGCCTTAGTTATAGTTTTCCGCAACAAACATCAAATGCAGCATATGATGTAAATAGATTTTGTACAACACTCTATATTATCTAAAAAATAAATCTCAGATTCCTCATAGTTGCCCGTTTAAGGCAGTTGATAATAACTGCTTTAAACGTGTTCTAATGAATGTTTTCTTAATAATCGAGCATTTTCATAACAAGTTATTACTAGTTGCTAGTATACAGGTAACAATTACATCGATGCGCTAATTTCAGCAATTACTTTGATAAAGTTTAGGTAATTTCTTGATATTCAGCAAATATTTATTATTTCTCAAATGCAAGATAAATAATAGAATTATTCTCATATCTTCTTCGCAGTTTTTGTTACAATTAGTATATTATTTGTTATTCAAACTAATATTAATACTACCTTCACCAAAAACTGACTGCAAATTGCTCCTATTTCAAACTTCCCATGAGAATTTTAAAATGTGGTGCATCGCTCAGACTCCTAAGTTACATGCAAGTCCACCAATGGGCAAATAAGTAAGACAGGTACAGATAGAAGTGGGCGGGATACCATAATTTTACTATTTGATTGTACAGATATAGTCCAACCACACTAACTATACAGTTTCGCCACCCCGAGAGACAGTTCGAAGATCTTTTACCCCTCTTCTCCTACCAACAAACCACACAAGAGGACTTCTAACGTACTAGTACATTTAATGCCCCATGCTGCACAGACACTGCACATTTACGGACATCCATGCCTTCTCCGAGAACTTGGGTTTATCGATATGGCAATTAGCGTCACTTATAGCTCAAGGAGGCAAATAAGTAAGACCGATAAATACTGTTATTTTGACCTGGATTCACATGGCGACGAACCTGGTGGCTACCTATAAAGTATTAAAACGGCTATTTAATTTTTTTACTAACCCTATATTTTTTTAAATAAATCTACAAAATATTCGAAACTATATGATGGGGCAGGTTGTAACAAAATTTCGAAGCAAGTTGTAACATGTTACGGCTCGCCTCCAGATTTTGATTCATTTAGTTAACTTTCTGCTTTAAATGTTGACATATTTCTTTCCCCGAACAGAAAAATCGATTTTTCGCTCGCAACGATTAGGTCTTTTCCTCAGGCTTCACCTCGGAAACAGTCTAAGAAGGGGCGACGTAAAAGAAAATCTGCCATTCTATCGCGAAAACCAAAGCATTGAAAAAAGAATTGAATAGAAAATTAATAAGAAACACAACTAAGACGATAAAAGTAAGGAAAGAGTAAAGCTACAGAAAAAAAATCTTATGTGGATACAACATGACTTCTTTGAACGGCCTATTAAATTATACACAATTTTGCTGCATTTCATTTAAACTTATTTCCTCGAATTTCATTAGTGATATATTTTTTATTCAATCAATTAAATTCTCACTTAGCGGGAAGGCAAAAATATGTAAAAACTCAAAATATCTTCATTAAAAATTGTAAAATATAGAAAAACGTACAACACCAAACATGGTTGAAACAATTAAAAAAGCAATTTTTACAATTAAAATTAGAGTTTCTACGCAAAAACAAGCGATTTAGAAAGCGGACAGGAAGACAGATTTTTCGGTGCACAAAATTAAAAGTTTACTTTTGGTCCCACTCGGCAAAAAGATACTGATGTTGGTACATAAACTAACTCAATCCATTCTCATACTAAGAGTTTCAAACGTAAACAAATGGCTACTTCGTTAGGCTTAATACCACGTAAACAATTTTTAAATTGTTTCTAATTCTACAACTATTGCATGCAGATTAACTAAAGGAATAAAAATAACATAATTCAATTTACTTTTAAAGCAAATAAAATGCACAATATACCAACATATAAGAATACAAAGCTGAGCTCTCCGAGCTGGGTATCAGAGTAGGTGTATACATACATACATACATATATATGTGTATGTATATATATCCGTTTGATGCGACCGATTGCAACCTGAAAAGGAGGTGCGCAACTGTATGTTACAGCAGTCCCATACACAAAATTTCAACTTTCTGATGTTACTTGTTTTTGAGTTATGCGATACAAACGTACATACCTTACTACGTGCGTAAGTACGTACAGATGTCACGAAAAAATCTCTTTTGAATGCATTTTAAATCTATTTCATATCCCTTTTTGGGAAAAGTGTCCTTTATTCAGTCCGTACGTATAGATGTCACTCAAAATCATCGTTCAAAGGGATTCGAGAGCGATCAAAATGGATAGTTTCGTTGAAATATGATACCCAAAATTTTTCTCGATTACGATACTTCCTTTACTTCGTACATAGAAGTAAAAATTCAAAAATAAACGCAGAATTGTAATGGATGAAGAAAAGAATTTTGAACTCAGATACGCTTTTCTGACACAGATAGCTAGCTGTTTTCCTAGCTTTCGGATATGCTCCAGCAACTCAGGTGCAATGCTTAGTTTGCGAAATGTGAGCACACTTTCAAGGTGTGAGAGGAAATAATTGATAACTTATTTGTGTTAACTGCCATTCTAATGAAGACACATTTTCCAGGTGATTGGTTACACAATTTTTCTTTGTTTATGCTATAAACCACTTCATATCATTTATTGTCAATAAACCAAATGATAATAATTATTAAATATTTTTTAAACATTGTAGTTTTTATTTATTGTTGCTATTTGCTCCAGGTATGTTGCATTTTGATCCAAACTGGGGCAAATTGTAATATTGGACAGACTTGGAAAAATATTTCTTGCGCTAAAATCAGCGAAATTGGCAAGTGTTTTGTGACCATGATAAATAAATAGTTACGTTAAAAAACAACAGAAGTCATAATAAAAAACGCAAATACATTTAAAAATATAAAAATTTTTCCAAAAATTATTACAACTAGCCCCTACATCCCTATTATAAGAAAAAATTTTCTTGAAGATCATACTTACAAAAAAAAATTACATTACATTAATTCAGTTTTGTAACTATCACAAGAGATCAAGTCATATTTTTCATTTGAGAACCGAAGCATACATTAGGAAATCCGAAACTATGAGGATTTGAAATTCTGATTGTTTTATGTGCAACGCGAACGTTGAACTGCCACAGCACTAAAACTGGATGCACTGAGTTAAAGCATGCATAATATCTGCTGCCAGCATGCTCGCCGCAGTTAGTGAACATTCTTCTTAGCACTCTCATCTGAAAATTAACATGATTGTAGCATATAACTCTAACTTCCATGCAAAGTCAACCTTAAGGCAGAACGACAAATAACCTGCCACAAGTCTACACGCTTTCTATAGCTGGAAACGTTCATCATCAAGCAATTTTCAAGGAGACAAGGTGATAGATGAGAATTGTTGAGAGGTAGTCTGTAAACCGAGACGACTTATTCGAGCGCCTGAGCTTCGAGAATGCAGATCACATGCGCTATTTTGAAGCTACTATAAGGTCTGACGGTCAGTTAAATCCCATTGAAACGTTTTTGGCTATTTGATTCTTTCAATGTAATGCCGTAATAAAAAGCAATATACTGCAAATGTTATATGCAGTAATGTAATGTTGTGTTATAAACTAGGAATAAAATAAAACATTTCAGTTTTAGCAATTAAATGTAACACTAACATAATTCTTCTTGAATAAGAGAAATTTCATCTTACTTCATGCCCGTTGATGTACCATCGCAGAGATGCGGCCGGTTTCGAAGGACCAGCAGAACACGTGACGTTCACATCATCTCCCACTTGGTACTGTGGTTTTACTCCAGAAATAGTTGGGCCATCTTCCGGTAATACTATATAAAAAAATAACACAGTCTAAAATCAGCTACGTATTCTTTGGATTATAGTTTTAAATTTTATATTTTCTGAAAAAGAAAGACAAATTAATAAATTATTAAATTATTATTAATAAAATATTAACAAATAGACTGATTTTTTTATGCATTTTCACAACGGATCACCAATACATCAGGTAAATTAGGTTTTATTTGAATATCACGTTTGAATATAATCCATGATGGCTATCTGCCTAAAGGGAATGATGCCGACATGAAAACAACCATAAATCAGGATCATTACTCTGACATTCATAACATCAAATCTAATGCAGTTCGTTATCAAAACCGAATACATGTGAGGGTTTGAGATTCATGAAAGACTCTAACATAAGTTAATTGTAATATTTTAAGGTGCACTCGATTACATTATGATGTAAAAATTGATAACATATTGTACAAATACAGACCATTTTAAAGGCGAGGAAATAAAAGCACGAGCTGAGTAGAAAAACAAGGTTAGGAGCGCTGATGCCATTTACTTACACAAGTGGGAGAAACGAAGACGCAAAGAGAGTAGAGAAGTTGTTTTTGAGCAGACTTGAAGTCAGTGACGTCATACAAGAGTGAACCTTGCCATGTAGTAACCTTGTAAAAGCTCAGAAATATGAAAGATAAGCTACATATGGCCGAAAAAAGGACAGAGTATTTGCTGGAGTACATGACAGTCATGCAATATTAGAAACAGTAAACTCGCATAGTTCTCGAAGAAGCAAAGGATATTATTACGAAATCCCCAGCTGCGGTATGATATCTACCCCGCAAGGCGGGGATAGGGTTGCCAGATTTGGCACGAAATCGCCCCATTTGGCGACAAAATTGGCGATATGCCATAAACGGAGCCAGAACATTCTAGAACGAATTCTTACCGGTTTTCCCGAGAATGTTCTCGAAGGCAGAATCTATTATATACCCTGTCTGTACGCGGAGTAGGAGAATATCCTTGATAGTATATATAATATGTTGATTTTAGTACTAGTATCTTGAGTTCAGAGATTAACTCGAGAGCGATCGACGAAGTCGGGAGCTGTGTTTAAGTGCTAGCCTGAAGGCTGTCTTGCTGATTGTTTCAGCGTGTTTGTCGTAGTTTTTCGACGACTGTAACGCGTTTTTTGGAACTTTCCTGAGTAATACTGCCAAATAAATTGTAGTTTGATTCTTCATCAAATGTTGTTATCAATCATTCCAAATATATAGTTCACTCCAACAATATACAGTTCATTTTGTGGGCAGAATACGTAGAGTCATTGGGTTTGTTGAAGCAGAAAATATGAAAAACGTGCAGTGCCCTTGCCGGGACTCGAACACTTGACCTTTTGATTGCTAGCCGAATGTGCTTTTCCAATTACATTTCGAAGCCGCGCGACAAAGAGGGAGAAAATGTCTTACAACTATTCGAAAGCGTGCACTTAAAGTTTGCAAATGTTCTCTGAAATACGCGAGTTGTTTCATTATCACACTGATTTTGGATGCATATGATGAGTTTTCACTACGTATTGCATGGAAAAAGCGGCAGCAGTAGATTTAAGATGGCAGGCTTGAGTCATAGAGCAAGAGTGAATTTAGCGCTCAGTTCGTTCTTTATCGTTTATTCTCTCTGAAGACACAAGTTCTTGAGATCTGATCTACACAGAGTAAGTAACCAGTTGCCAGTGAGGCTGGACTGATTTGATGTTAAATACATAGCTGCTATCTAACCGCGTGCACTATTTACAAGTACCTATCAGAGTAAGGTGTCGTAAGGAGGGATAAAATCTTGATGCAAGACAGTATTGATGAAGGCTATGTGTTTGTGGATGTCTCTTTAAATAATCACTTGAAAAAAGCTGGAAGAAACTGCAATTTATTAAAAGTAATTATGAAGCACAGCAAAATAAATAGCTGAAAGATAAAGCTCTAAATTACATACAGAGCTCTAAATTACATACAGACCAAACTTATTAGCATATCTCGCTCGTAAATAATCTCGTTCTACTTGTAGCTATATGAAATTCAAACATCAAACATCAAATTTTACATTATTATTTTAGAAGTACACACAGAAGTGGAGGAGGTAAACAGTCGTTAAAAGCAGATATCGTAAGCAGCGCACGAACACGTCTCTGAACGTCAAAAGTATTAAACGTATTGTGAGTGCTTCTCTTGAAGCTCAAGTACATGCGAATTAAGATCAAAGAAAGATGCTTTTAGAGTTTCCATTCGAAATCCACGAAAGAGACACGGATTCCCAAGGGAATAAATTAAATGGAAAATATGATTGCTAAAGCTTTTCATAACTCAATTATGCAATTTCAACACTTCTTGCATTTTGATGCTTAAACAACATGCATTTCAGATACGCACGGCTGCGCTGCTATGTTAGATTATGATTTTAGAGGAAGTCTTTATTGCATTACTTTAATATTTTAATATGCGAAATCAAACAAAGTTTTGGCATTTTAAAACAAGACAGTATATTAGCTAAATATTTATTTTAAACTTTATATAAAGATATATTTTTTAAATAGTATTAGAACATGTATACTAAAAAGATTTCATTCAGCCAATACAGTAAGTTTCTTAAATTTTGACATATTTCCGGATTAATTCATGAGCAAATATTTAAATTAAATGAAACTAAGATAAGCTAAACCTGTAAGGATTTATCATATTCTCCCATGCGTGCTCTGCCTATGTAAATGGTTAGCGGCGCATTTAGCTGCAGTTTATTACTTTAAAATTGCACTTCAGTGCCGTTGTCAGCCCTGCCCATTTACGACTGTAACACGGGTCGTCATCACAGCACAGCGCTTATTTTCTGCACTTCTTTTGAGGAAGTGGTTCAAGTCAGCCTTCATTCGCGTGCTTTTCATGAAACGAAAACACGCTAAACGGAAATGAAGTGAACGGAAAAACCTAGTCGACCCAAATTGTCTGGTGCATCTGTTTTTCTTATGGTAACGAGGCAAGTCTGACGACGGTAACGAGGCAAGTTGGCGACGTTTGGCGATATACCATAGACGGTTGTAGAGCCTTATGGACATACTATAGCAATGGGAGATCTATGGTTCGAGTTAGAGATGAACAAAACTGCTCTTTATGGGAACTGGATCACTCACATGAACAGGTTTTTTTATTATTACTGACCGCTCATTAATAATAAGCTTGATGAAAAAGATTCGGAACGAGGGATGAATCAAAAGACGTTAGCAAGAACCGAGCGAACAGCAAAAAGAATTGAATGAGCTGTGGGATCGGAAAAATCGACTCAATCAAACACTAACTCCCTGAACTGATTTCTTTTAACTGCAATTTTGAGATTCCTTAAAACCTCCTTTCTGCACTCAACTACCAATAAAATTTCAGAATAAAAATTTTTCAAAAATTTGGGAAATGATAAAAATTAAATTCACTTTTAACATGGCAGAGTAATATTTCAGCATACTAGTTTTTTAAATGACAATGGAAGAAAAAGAGAGTAATAAAACATATTCCAGTACAAAGAGACTTGCCCTCCTCCCCTTCCCCCGAAAATTACCAACTCCTCAAGTTTCATAAGTCTCTTCCTACAAAAAAAAAAAAAAAAAAGAAAAAGATTCCCCCCCCCGAAAAAAGGGGGCTTTTCGCCACTCTGAAATTCGAAATTAAAAAAAGTCATTATTTATTTATAGCGGAAGCGTTTTTATCGTAAGAGAAAAGAAAATCTGATGTGGACACCACACAACTTCCTTTTACGGCCCATTAAATTATACACATTTTTTTACTGTACTTCATTTAAACTTATTTTCCCGAATTTCATTAAAGACATATTTCTCATTCAACCAGTTCAGTTCCTACTTTGCGGCAAGGCAAAACTGCATAAAAACTCAAAACATCTTCATTAAAAATTGTAAAATGCAGAAAACTTAAAACTCAAAATACAATTGAAAACAGTTAAAAAAACTACTTTTGTAATTAAAATTAGTTTCTTCGCCAAAACAAGCAAATCGGACAATGGGCAGGAAGACAGATTTTTCAGTGCATAAAATCTAGAGTTAACTTTTGGCCACACTGGGCAGAAAGACATTGAAGATGTTGCACCAACTAACTTAATTCCCTACACTACATAAAGTTCCAAATGTAAACAAAAAGCCGCCACCTTAGGCCTAGCATAACTTACACATTTAAATTGCTGGTAACTCTACAACTATTGCCTGCAGGTTCAATAAAGACATAAAAAATTTAACAAGAACAAAGGAACAACAAAATTCAATCAATTTTAAAGCAAAAAAGGCACAATTTGCCAACATAGAAGAATAAAAAAAGCTAGGGTGGGTGGTATATATATAGATGTTTGCAGCCGGTATGTTATAGACAAAATATTCCCAACGTTTCACGGCTAAATTTATGCGTTGCAAGATAGATAAATGTAGGTACGGACAAAGACATAAAAATCCCTTCTTAATCCAGGAAAAAAATCCTTAAATCCGGGGGGGAAAAATCCTTAAAAGATGTCACGCAAAAAGATCGTTCAAATAGATTCGAGAGCCGCCGAAACGGATATTTTCGTTGAAATATATCACTTAATATGATAGCGTTGAAATAAAAATTGCTTGCATGCATGTTACATGTGATTTATGCGATTTAAGTCAACAAATTTATATACAGTTCTATAAAATGTGATTTTTCGTTTAAATATATATCATGCACTTAATTGAATGGATTTATTTCTTGTTTGTGATATACTGCATTTGATGTATTTTTTATTCTGTTTACAACTTTTTTACTTACTTAACGTCTTAGATGAAAATATAACTAGTTTTAGAAACTGATCATCAAATGTGTATGAAAACAGCATTTTTCTTACACTATTTCAGATATTTGAGTTTTTCAGCAACGTGGGAAACCTTATAAAGTGGGTTTAACATTAGCCGTACCCCTTGTAGTTAGAACAAAAGAAAGCTGCATAATTTCTTTCTAGTTGGTGAATATAGGCAGTG